GTCATAAATATGGACATTCAAGCCATGAAAAGATATCTGCCAATGATTTGAATATATGGTGAATATAATTATTACGAGCAAACATCCAATAAAGAATTAAAGATAGTTGCAGAACTTTACTCTCCCACTAATTTGTTCATTATGTCATAGCATCTAGATCTATTGATTCATTATTAGATATTGATTTAAAGAGTTGTTATTAATTTTTTTTATTTATATGTAATTAACCACTTAATTGACTCATCTCATTTAAAAAAAAATCTTAAATTTGACTCAAATACCTTTAAAAAGTAAATTTAATGTCTACTAAATTAGAACTAGATTTAGAAGTACGATTACGTGTGAGAAAGATTATAGCATCCTCATAATACCCATCAACAAATAATATCAGCTTGATTTCATATTATCTAGAAGCCTTAAAATCTTTCCAAATAATTAATTATTAAAAATTATTTTTAATCAACTTCAATACTTTTGACAAAAAATTAAGAAAATTTCTTCACTTCAAGAATATATAAGAAAATTATTGTTTCTCTTTGCAAAGGCAATATTAAAAAAAATTCCGTGAAAGAACAAAAAAAATTAATACCTCAACTTTTTCTTGAGATTTCTTTTCTTATTTTATTTTTTTAAAAAAGGATTAATGTCTTTATTCAAGAAAAATTGATACTTTCAATTTTTTTTCAAAAATATTTTTTAAAATTTTTATTTTCAAGAAAAATTGATACTTTCAACTTTTCTTTAAAAACGTTTCTCGTGAAATATATTTTTTAAAAAAATATTATTTTCTAATTAAAATTGATATTTTTAACTTTTTTTAAAAATCTCTTTTTTATTATTGAAGTTTTTTAAGAAAAATTGATACTTTAACTTTTTCTCATAAAATTTTTTGAAAATTTTTATTTTTAAGAAAAATTAATTCTTTAACTTTTTTTGAAAATTTGAAATTATTTTTATTTTTATTATTATTTTTTAAAACAAAGATTTACTAAAATAATAATTAAGTAAATAAACAAAATAACACAAGAAATTCCAAATAAGTCTTGGCTCAGCTTGCCTAAAAAAAGCTTGGCTACAAGAGTAAATTAGGCTTGGTGGCCCTTTTTTTGTTAATCTAAATGCTTAAACAGGTTGATAGTTTTTTTTTTTTTTTAGATTTTGGTGCATCATCGACATCATCGATGTCATAAGTTGCCACCATCAATATCTTTTTTGTTTTTTGCTTTTTATTTCTTCAACCTTAAAATTTTAGTTAAGAATCATGCACCTAAAACCCTATTATTTAATCGTTATTGTTCTGCCGATGTGATCTTGCACCTGAAACTCTACTCTTTGATCATAATCATTTTGTCGATGTGAGTCATAACAGAATCATGCACCTAAAACTCTACTCTTTGATCGCCACCATTCTACGAATGTTTTACTACTCTTGAAACCCTAAAACCTTATTGTTTGATCACCGTTGCTCCAATGTAAGTCACAACCACCACTTTACCACTACATTTTTTACTACTTATTATGATTGATTTTAGGTTGATGGTAGATTGTATATTGAGTTTCGAGTATTCTGGATTTTGGGTATTTTGTGGGTGATTAATTTTTGATAGTGGATGTTTGGGCTACCGGACACGCCCATTTCAGTGGTGGTAAGATTAGGCACAGTTTGGTGGAGAAAAAAACAAAAATAAGATGGAGCTATTAGTAGTTGTTGGGTTTTGCTTTGTATTTTTCACTCTGTGTTTTTCGCTCTCAAACTAGGGTTTAAATAACATGATGAAGATTTAATTCAAAAAAATTGAGCATCCTATTCCCTATAATCTAAAATTTGAGTTTTAAACATTTAATCCGATACTTCAAATTTTAAACACAAAACCTTATCATTTGATTTATTATTTATTATTTATTTTTCTGCAAAGTTCTAATAGAAGCAAAACAATTACAAATAGTGATGGCAACACGTTGGGTTAGGGCGGGTTTTTGCTTGCGCTGAACCCGACCCGAAATTGTTTTTATTTTTTAATACCTGAATTCGATCCGATATTATATAAATCGTATATAATCTGACTTGAATTAATAAAATATTATTTTTTAAATATAAATATATAATTATATATAAATAAAGAATTAAAAAAATAATTAAAAATTTTTTTTAATATAATACAGGTCAAGTTGAGTTTGCCTAAAACTCAAACTCAACCTGACCTCGATTTCTGTTTTTTTAGTAATACTCGACCTGATCCGATCCGAAATTCGATTTTAAAAAAAAAAATCGATCATATGAGATCGGATCGGATTAAAACTTGTTGTATTCGGATCGAATTGTAAATCTTAATTACAAATAACCTTGTTTGATTCAAAATATAATCTAGACCTAAAATTCAAATGTTAGATCCAAATAAAAATAAATTGAATCCAAAGCTCAAGTCAAATTAACTCGAAATTCGATGATAACACATGTCTACAATACTAATTGAAGAAGCCTTCAATACTTTGTTGAAAACTTCCTCGAACTAAGAGCAAGTCCGTGATCTCTTAAATTAAGGCCTTCAATTTCATCAATAAGTTGAAAATTTCTTACCAGTCATCTCTTAAAAAATATCAATTAATTAGTCTAAATTTCACATATTTATGCTGTTTCTGGATATACAAATTTGACCTTTGTTGATATGTATGATTTCGAGCTCACTGAAATTGTCTTCTTCGAGGATCAGTTGCTGCTAATTTTATTGCTTATTTCGAATTATTTTAGAAGCTTCTTTGTTTGATTTGTATGAGCTTTTGCTGTGATAACACTGACGTTTGCATGAAAAAATACATCTCATTATATAATGCCTTAGAGAATTAAATTATCAATGAAAAACATTATCTCATTACGCGAATGTCGATTCTAAGAAGTCATGTGGTTCATTAGGGTATGGACGAAATAAACAGTATTTTTTCCCTTCGGTCAATGACGAAATAAATAGTATTCAATAATCAATTCATACTCCTTTTACAAAATAAGCAATCAATTTGCAAGAAATTCGATTTTTGGAATTAGTCAGTAATAAAATTATTCGAAAAGAAAATTAAATAACACTACAAAGGTTCAAATTTTCAGTGACACTTTTTTTAATGTTTTGTATTATTTATAAGCGTCATTAAAAAATTTATAAATTTATAAATTTATAAAAAATGGCAATCAAAATATCAATTATATGCTTATAGTAAAAATTAACGATATTTTTTTATAAAATATCGTTACATTAACTGTATTTGTATTTGAAAAATATCATTATATTAACCCTCCGACCATACAAAAAAAATTCATGGTTCTTTTCCTTGATCAATCTGTCCAGAAGCAAAAGAAAAGATGAACCATTTTCCACAAATCCTTTATCCATTAACAGAAGATAACCTAGCAGTTTCAAGCTTCTCGTGTTTGTAATTGTTATTTCATATCAAGTTCGACAATGTCATAACCAGAAAACTGTTTAATATCAATGAATTTTTATTGATGAATTTTTTTCGATAATTATCGATAAATTACAAATGATTCATAGCATAAAAAATTATTATAAATTTATTGACTAATATTAACACGGAAAACAATAATTTGTTTACTGTACTGAATTATGATGAATAGACTAAAACCAACTCTGATGTTGACTTTGATTAATTCCAATGACGGCGTGCTAAGCAGACTCTTCCCCGAAACCAGAAACGGCGCATGATTTTCATCATTGTCATCCTGGAACTTGCTTGTCTTTATGAACATTTCCTTCCTTTTTTTTTTTTTTTTTGTTTGACCATGACCATAACATTATTTCATGAAATTATCCTAACCCTAAATCCACGATCCCAAACCTATATCTTTACAGTTAATCATCCATGCTTTCATATATCATTTCTTAAAAGTAAAGAGAAAAAAAAAAGGCAAAAAAAAAAAGGAAATAAAGCAAGAAAAAAAAAAAGGTGTCATTGATAAATGCTATATCTGGATACATAGATGCTTAAAAAGAAAAGCACAAATAATGCATAGATTATTTTAATATTTTTATAAATGCGGATGACGATTCAGATCAAGTTCCCAACAAACTTTACCTAATGTTGTATTTGCCAAACAATTATATGATTATTTCCATCGCATTACCAGTTCATAGTTTGTGCATATTTTTTTGTATTAAACTTTATATTATATACTCAATCAATTATTATTTTATTTTATATGCCTACCCACCTGCCGGCTGCTGGTGGACTTAATCCAACGGCTATTCATCTTATTTTTCTTTCCTCAACCTTTCTGCCCCAACTCAACTTAGTAAAATAATATTAAACATTTTTCTTAGTAAAATAATATTAGACATTTTCCTATTAAGTGTTATTATATGGTAATTTCTAGTATCAAAATTCATGAAGTGATTATAAATTTATTTTCTAGAAATCCCATCCCTTTTATAAATGTTTTAAAATTAATTATTGAATTTATATATGCCAAATATTACTTGCTTTTAGAGTTGTTGATAATTTGATTTTAATCGAATTAATCGATATAATCAATTTAATTTAATTAATTAATTAACTATCAAATTAATTTTGTTTGGTTATGAAAAATAATTTTAGAATAATTTTAGTTTTTAATTAATTCGATTTGAAAATCGAATTAACCAAATGATTTTATTTAATTTATTTCATATATGAAAAAATAAAATTTTTTAAAAAATTTAACTTAATATATTTTATTATTTGATTAATTAAAAAAATTAATCGAACTGAATGAATTAATTTTAATAAATTAAATTTTAAAATTAAATAATTTAATTTAATTAATAAAAATAATTTAATATTAAATAATTTAATTCAAAATTAATCAAATTAATCAAAAAAATTAACCGAATAAATACCTCTACTTACATCTAAGTCTAATTAATGAGCTGTAAAATTATAGAGGGTGTTGGCAAAGTGGACTATAGCAATTTGATCACATTTTTTGCAAATAGTATTGTACATAAATTCTTACCTAGTAAACATGGGGCCCAATCAAAAGCATTATCTTTTCTTAAGCTAAGACCAAAAACCAAGCAACAAAATAATATTTAAAAAAATTGAAAAAAGAAAGTCAAAAACCAACAAACCCTACCCCCAGCCCCATATGTTTCATGTATATTTTGTCCAAATATATAAATTACGTATTGTATTATTATTTCTTTTATTATTATTTTTTTTAGATGTAAAAGGCCAATCTTTATCTTGAATCAACTACTGCTATTCCTTCTTCTTCAATCAAAAGGCCACAAAAAACCTACCAAATTTCATCTTCCATTAACCCAAATATCTCTGTTACAGAAATTCTTCGAAAGTTTTCTTTTTCTGATATTGTTTTGTCTTCCATGGCTGTTTCTCCTCAAGTTTTCCCGCCAAGAAAGCGGCGGCCATCGGCGGGAGCTTTCATTTCTCCGAAATTGACGGACTTAAACCTGGTACAATCTCTTCTTTCTTTGTCTCAAGAAATCTCTTCCCTTAAACCTCTTCAATGTCTTTTAAAAAGGAACTCCCTTTCCATCATAAACAAATCCAAGCTTCTCGCAATCTTATTCGAAGAGCTGCTTCGAAATCCTGTTTATAATTTCTTCTCTCCTTCAACTCTCCTATGCTTTGAAGAAATGTACATAGTTTTACAGAGAATTAAAACCCTGATCGAAGATTGTTCCAATGGAAGCAATATGTGGCTGCTTATGCAAATCCAACCTTTGGCTAACAGTTTCCACGAACTCACCCTCGAGCTGTCGACTCTCCTCGATATTTTCCCTGTCAAAGAAGTGGATTTGAGTCAAGACGTTGAAGAACTCGTTGGTTTGGTAAGAAAACAGTGCGCCCAATCCAAACCTTTGGTAGATCCAAGAGACGAGTTTCTCAGGCTAGAAGTTTTTGCCATGCTTGATCGGATTAAACAAGAGATCGTCCCTGATCATTTAAAGCTCAAACAGATTGTCGAGAGTTTAGGATTACGAGACAATTCAAGTTGCAGAGAAGAAATCGAAAGTCTCCAAGAAGAAATTCAGAACCAAATCAATGAAAAATCCAAATCAGATATTGTTTCTTTGATCGGTCTCGTTCGTTACGCTAAATGTGTTTTGTTTGGATCGTCAACGACGAAGAAATTAGACCATCACCGACGAAAATCAATGTCGGATATTACAATCCCAGCGGACTTTCGGTGTCCGATAAGCCTCGAGTTGATGCGGGACCCAGTTGTCGTGGCATCGGGACAGACGTACGATCGGGAGTCAATAAACCTGTGGATTGAATCTGGACACAACACGTGTCCTAAGACAGGTCAGACCCTGGCCCACACCAACCTCATCCCAAACCGCGCTTTGAGGAATCTTATAGCCATGTGGTGCCGTGAACAAAGAATTCCGTTTGAAACCGCGGGAAGTAACGATAAAGTTAACGGCGTTAAAGCCGCTAAAGCCGCATTGGGAGCTACGAAAATGACGGTTTCCTTTTTGGTCAACAAGCTTTCGGTTTCACCATCCATGGAGGCGGCTAACGGCGTCATTTACGAGCTTCGTGCCCTCTCTAAAACTGACTCGGACAGCCGAGCCTGCATTGCCGAAGCTGGAGCAATTCCCATCCTCGTCAGACATTTAGGTTCGGATATAGGTTCCGAGCACCCAAACCTCCAAGTCAACGCCGTTACCACGATTCTTAATCTTTCCATCTTAGAGGCAAACAAAACGAGGATCATGGAAACTGACGGAGCTTTAAACGGTGTTATCGAAGTATTACGTTCGGGTGCCACATGGGAAGCCAAAGGAAATGCGGCGGCTACAATATTCAGCTTATCAGGTGTACAGGCGTACAGGAAAAGGCTAGGGAAGAAGACACGTGTCATCAAAGGATTGATGGATTTGGCCAAAGACGGTCCCACGAATTCCAAAAGGGATGCCCTCGTGGCAATTTTGAATTTGGCCGGAGATAGGGAGACCGTTGGGAGGTTACTCGAAGGAGGGGTGATAGAGATGGTGAGCGGAGTCATTAACGCTCTACCGGAAGAAGCTGTGACGATACTCGAGGGGGTGGTAAGGAGAGGCGGATTGGCGGCGATTGCGGCGGCATATAATACAATTAAAAAACTGGGTGTTATTTTGAGGGAAGGATCGGATAATGCGAGAGAAAGCGCGGCGGCTACTTTGGTTACTATATGTAGAAAAGGGGGATCGGAGGTTGTGGCGGAGTTGGCAGCGATTCCAGGGATCGAAAGGATTATATGGGAAGTGATGGGGACAGGTACCCTGAGAGCGAGACGAAAGGCGGCGACGCTGCTGAGGATTCTTCGGAGATGGGCTGCTGGGTTGGATATTAATAATGTTGTGGATAATTCAATTATGATGACCACGAGCACGACAGTGAGTACATCCAGAATAGTATTGCCAGCATAATTGATGATATTTGTTTCATTCAATTTTTTTTTTTTTTTTTAAGATGGCTATGTAAATGTTGGATTGCAATTAAATTGTGTCAAATCTCACAAGTGAAAGATCATTCTTTGATGGTTCGTGAATCTTGGTTTCACTGATTCTCACAAATTCTTTTTTTGTTGCTACCATGGTCATCAATGTTTTCAGGCTTTGCTTCGAGACAATCTCAAATTGCAGCAACTTGTATTTCTTGATGTAACAATTAGAGACAGGGATCATCAATGGAAAAAGGAAAGAAAGGGACAAATAAAATGAATATCCGCAAAGTTGCAAAGAAATGTCAAATTGGCTAAAAATAAATTGAAATGTAAAAAAAATTAAATGAAATGTCACTCTCAAATTATCCAAAAATCTAGTAATATGAAACCTGTGGACAAGGAAACCAACAACTTGGGTTGTTTGAGTTTCAAGGCAAAATGTCAAAGCTTGGTATTGCCTTCTCCACTGGCCTTCTAAATCTCTTCTTCGTAAATTTCATCCAAAGAAAAGAACCTCATTCTACAGTCTAATAATGGGATTGAATAAATTTGGCTGCTTCATCACAGTAACATTCATATTCGCCATGCTCATATCTCTGGCCTTCTGGGCCAAGGTCAAACTCTTGGATGGTTTTTTTCAAGCTTCCTGTATTAGGTTACTGACTTTTCACAGTTTTATTTTATGTCCATTAAATTCAATGTATTAATTCATTCTTTTTGTTCGACTGCCGTCAAATTTTGACCCAATACATTTTTTTAGTCCTGGCATGGCCCAATAACTTCTGCTTGGGACATATGGTCGAAACATTTATGGGTTGCTCCAGCATTTAGCAGAGGAAGAATTGCTTTAGGCCTAAATCTCTATCCATTTCTCGTTTTATGAAGCCCAACTACATGGGAAATGATTCCTGCTAGCAAATCTCCGTTTGACGCACATAAAATACCAACAGGTAAAAGGATAACCAACCTAAACTTATTCTTTGTCCTTGGTTAAGATACCAACAGGGTACCAAATTACCAATAACTACAAAATGTTCTAGGCAGGACAAGAAATCACTAGGTCCTCACTCTAATTGATGAGATATTGGACACATCTACAAGACTATTGGTTATGTTACTCTTGTCAGTGACCAGTTGGCCAAACCTCAACCTGCATTATAGGGAACCCTTCTGTCTGAATCCCATACAGGCTATGAGCTTTTAGTTTTTACTTATAAACCTGTTCCAAGTGACAATTAAGTCTGCTAACAACATATAATTATATCCAATCCAGTCTACTGACTCCAAATCTGTCGGTGATAGAAGACGGATGAACATTTGTCATACTGTGTAAAAACCGTACTGCCAAACTTTAAGAAATTTCTCATGATGCTTTTGGACACAACACATCAGCAAAAGCTTCATTGCCAGGACAATCTTCAGTTGCAGTCGTTTCATTTTGCTACTTAAGAATGACCAGAATTCGTACAATGATGGGATAAGCATCACAAAGTTGATAACCCAATTGCCACCATTTTCTTCTCAATCCGTCTACCCGGGACTAGATAATGAATATGAAGGCCCATTACTACTTGAGAGAGAATTCATGTGCATCGGGCTCTTTCTGTCTGACTCGCAATTTTGTCCTTTTAAGGTCTAATGATAATGAGATCCACCCCGAGATAAAGGTTGCATGGTCTTAAAGAGATACATTTACCTAAAGTTTAGGTCCTAAACACCCTGTAAGGCCTAACAAATCAATGAGTTTCCAGTTCCAGTAAAATTAATGTATCCAATTGGTTGGGCTTTCAAATCCATCAGAAGAATTAAGCGTTCGAGGCTCTGAAATGGGCTTTATTTAGGCCTTAACGACTCTTTGCACTGAAACAGAAAGAGTAATCAGTAGCAGAATTATTTGTTAGGTATTTGCAAATCTGGATTGATTGATCATAGAATTATTATCTGCATTTCCAAAAGCTCTTTTTTTAAATTTCCTGTCTTTTTGTTTCGATTGCTCAAAAGCTGAAAGCAAAGTGCTACCAATGGGGGGAAAAGCATTGATGAAATAGTCTATCTATAAGTGTGTATTACACCAGCAAGCAAATGCAATAGCAGATAAAAGCTGAATATGAAGCTGCCCTTGTCCTTTCCTAAGCCTAAACTTCATTTCCAGTTTAGAATGCTGGTGAAATAAAGGAGGTTTGTCGAGTCATTCTAAGGGCCTGCATGTGAGCCACGTCGATGGAACATATGGAAAAATCATGGAAAACCGCTGATTTTAGCCATGGTACGAAAAACATAGATGCTGGGGCCTGTACGAAAAAAAAAAACAGGTTTAAGTTGCAGAGGAATCACATTTGTTTAAGAAGCAAACAAAACAGTAATGATGATAAGATACAAAAATTTCATCTTGGTTTGGTGATTAAGCGTCATAGCCAGCAAAAGCCAGTTACCATCTGGCCCCATTGTTTTTTTCCTTTAGGCCAACTTTTTTCTCCTGTCGTGGACCCCATCTTTCTCCATTTTCAATTACTCTCCTGTTTTTATACAGCTTCCACTCTTCAGTCAGTCCCATATCAAGGAGACTGATCGAGAGTTTACGTTCAAATACATTTTCATTGCTTTCACTTTCTGAACGCTTGCTTTTTTCATTCAAAGAGAGAATTTTGATGGGAAATTACAGGTTTAGGTTATCTGATATGATGCCCAATGCCTGGTTTAACAAGCTGAAAGACATGGGGAGAGCTAGAAACCATAGCAATACTAATCCTTCCAGGAAAAAAAAACACCAGATATCTTCTGCTTCAGCAACAACACAGCCATCAAAAATAAAGCAACCCCACCAATTTTATCCAAGAAAGTCTTATTACTTCACTAGAGAGCTTATCCCAAGTGATAAATTCTATGTTTCTCCTACAAACACCAAATCTCCGGATCCCCGTTTCCCTGACCCACCAAGAAAATCTTCTAAACAACGATCTAGAAAGAGAAATATCAGGTCGTCACCCGAGCTTGTTACTTCCTCTGTTTCTGCCAGTTGTAGCTGCCGTGCCACACTCTGGACTAAGGCTGATTCTTCACCAGAATACTCAGCTTCTTTCTCTTCTTTGTCCTCTTCTGATGATAGCTCTTCAGACCAAAAACTTTGTGAGTCTTTACCACAAGAATTCAGGTCTGACTGTATTCTTACTACTGAATCATTCGATAACATGGTATCCTGGTCACGTCCTTGTACCTGTAAAGTCATGAATTCTAAAGCGAATGATACTGCTGTCGATGCTGATAACAAGTCTTTTGTTAAGAAATTCGACAAGTTAGATGAGTTCGACAAATTGTCTGAGCTTGAACTCCCTCGGATCATAACCAAGCCGGTAATATTCAACGATACGGTAAAGGATATAAAGAAGAAAGAACAGAACCGTGAACCAACCAAGTATAGAAGGAATTCAACTAAATTTCAGGAAAAAAATGCTCATTGTTCACTTTCTGTCAAGGTTGTCGAGGAAGAGAGACCTACAGTGAAAGAGAACAACAAGAACATCAGTCCTGTTAGGAAATTTTCTGTCAATTCTCCTGGTATAAGGCTTAGAACAAATTCTCCAAAAATAGCAAGCAGAAGAATTCAGGGTCATGCTCGAAAAAGCGTGTCATCAAGTTCAAGCTCGAGATCAAGGAGGAGTCTGTCTGATAGTTTTGCTGTGGTGAAGTCGTCGTGTGATCCTCAGAGAGACTTCAGGGAGTCAATGGTGGAGATGATTATGGAGAATAACATCAGGGCATCAAAGGACTTGGAAGATTTACTTGCCTGTTATCTTTCCCTGAATTCTGATGAATATCATGACCTTATCATTAAGGTTTTCAAGCAAATCTGGTCTGATATGAATGATGTCCAGATGAAATAATTTCCTCCCAAATATAATAATCTCCTTCTCTTTCTTTTTTAGTCTTCATTATTATCCCATCATTTTATGATTTTCTTGTCATTTTCTCTTTTCAAAGTAAATACTACTAGTTCTTCCTTCTTAGATCAATCAATTACATATCAATTTACAGGCTTTTCCTTCTTTCCTGAGAATAAAAACATTTGGCCAAAGAGAAAAAGGAAAAGGAGGAAAGAGAAAATTTTGGCAGGGTATCTTAGTGTGCAGCTGATGACAACAGAATCCATTGAAGACACGCTTCTTATTTTAGTGCTTGAATAATTTAACATTTCTAATTTGTCCTATAATCAAGATCTTTTGCAGTAAAATTTTGCCAGACAGTGGGGACTCCTAACAAGAAAAAGAAAAGTCTATGATATTGCAACTTTCAAGCCTGATATATAAAAGGACCAGCTTCTTTGTTAGTTTTTATTACTTTGATACCTTTTTCTATTATTTTGATTTTTTTCTCATATTTCATATTTTTGGTGTGCAAAACCATACACAATATATATATATATATATATATATAGAAATTTTGGATGAAAGAATAAATCAGTAAACAATTTGAGAATGGTGTGCAAAATTATACAATATATATATATATATATGATTCTATGAATATGAATTATATGTAAAAGGGTCCCTCGATCTTACAATTTCTGACAGTTTCTTCCATTACCTTCAGGTTTTCTCTTCCAAAACAAGATACTCTTTTAAGTACAGAGTTCAAATTTTTTTAATCTTTTTTCACAATTCCAATGCTAAGATATATATATATATATATATATGTCTCCTTCTCCAGGCAAGATATCCAGCTTTCCCACATCCAGAGAAACAGTACATTGTAAGAATTTTGAAAGGGTGAAATTCAAATTTCTGCACTGTGAAACTCAGAGGCTTTTGTTGTTGGACAACTTAGGCTTAGAACGTTGCCTAAAGTTGAAAATTGATCTATATCAGTTAGGGTTTTTATAATTTTTATACAATAATTTTTTTATTATTAAAATGCAACTTCTTAAAAAGAAAGTTAAAGTTACATTGACTATTACAAAAGCACACATGTTCACTTTTCAAAAAAAAAAAAAAAGCAAATAATTTTTTCCTTCTTTTTAGTTTTTTTATCAATCAAATAAAAATAAAATATTAAATGATGGGATTCGAATTCTTACCTTACTTTTTTTTTAATTTTATTGTCAAGAACACGAAAACAATGACTTGGAAAGATGATCAGTTGAGACCCATTGATCATGATCAAGGGTTCAGATTGTCTAAAAAACTCTTTTTCTTTTATACAATTGAATGTTTTTTTATTATCAAGTGATTAATTCAATAGATTAAAATTATTTTTTTTTAAAAAAAATTTTTTAATTCGAATTCTGTCAATGATCGTTTGTTGAAATTATCTTAAATGCACGATCTGTAAATCATTTATCTTAGATTATTAAATACGATATATCTTGATTTAAAAAATTAAATAAAATTTTGATAACCAAAAAATAAATTGAATGCTTTTGATTTGTGACAATAACAGGTTTTTACCATTCCTTTCTTTTTTTAATTTGTGAAAAGAAAGCATGTTGTTTCTTTCGGTTTCACCTACCCTATAAAATCAAAAAATTATACATTTTCATAATAGGGTTTGTTCTATTAATCCCTAACTTTGCGGTTCCTAATACTTTTTCTAACTAAAGTTTCGAATTATGCATTGACTTAATGACTTTCACCACTAATAATTATGTATAGTCTTTCAAATCTAACCACTTTTATATTCAATGAATCTCATTCGCCAACAAGAAACAATCACCAAAGGGGATGAGTCATTGTTTTATAATCGTTAAAAAGAGGTTTTCAAACTTTAAATCTCATTCTTTTTTTATTGAATCAGCTCAATATTACAATGCTTTTGTTGCAGAAAATTTTTTCCAGGTTTCTTAATTTCTTTGTTTATGCTAAATGCAAAACTCTTTTCAAGAGAGAATCCGATTTTTTTTCGAATGAATATTCAATTAAACATACGAATATATAAAATTTATAATAAAATAAAATTTTTAAATGAATCTTTGATTATATGATATGAATATATAAATTTTATGACGGAATAATTGGGAAATTAGTATAAACATGCTGAATTCAAGCAACTTCGGGGTGTGTCGGCGAGCAGAGTCAAAGAAGGAGATCAAAGACCAGACGACCAACATTAATCCGCAGATTCTGGATGTTGCCAAGACGTTGCACTTCTAATCGTTCATTGTATCTGCATGCTATGAGACTATTTTCTACCCTACAAAAATATTATATCCGAGCAAACGAAGGGTTATGTACCCTACAAAGTTACAAGGGTAGGGTAGGTTTGGAACTTGGAAGGTTAATATTATTCGAAAAACAATGCCCCTACCAACTGCTGCACGTGTGTGACTTGTACTTTGCCCATTACTTACACGCCCAATTTGACTTTGTCCTGTTCTATCATCAGATACCCATCTTTGCCTTCTAAAAAAATCAAAATAACAGTGTCAGGCTGATTCAAGTTCCTGTTCGATGCATATAAATAGATATTTGAGTTTATATTTAATATATTATTAATATATTATCAATGAATTAAATAATTTTATTTTATTAATAAATTAAATTAAATGATATTATTTGATTAATAAATAATTTTTTTAAAAAAATTAAAATTTTATATATTTATTTTAAAAATAAATATTTATTTATTAATAAAATAATATCATTGATAATCTATAAACAAATATTTTGCATACAAATTTTAAGAGATATACGCATCAATTTGAACTTTGTTAATATTCATCTGTCCAGTTTGATAAAGACATTTAATTAAATTTCATAATTTAAAATATAATATAATAATATAATATAAATATAATATAAATATAATATAATTTAAAATTTTAATAATAATTATATAAATTTAATAAAATAAAAAATATATTTTAAATTTATATAATAATATAAATTATGATACATAATTTTTATATAAAATATAATATAAATATATAATTATTAATATTTTAAACGATAATCAATCCTACATTTAATGTTGACAAAAAATAAAATATTAAATTGGATTTAAGTGCACGAGTGGGGGACAAAAATCTTTGGGAATCTAGGATGGGAAAAGAGAGTCATTGTGGATTGTACACAGCAAAGAGCAGATGGATGAGAGGTAGTATTTCGCTGACTCTCATGTGCCTTTGTCTCTATTATTCATATTTCTACTACGTCCTCTCTCTGTCTCTCCAAATCTTGCCAATGCAAACGACGAAACCTATACAAAATAAAGACGAAATTACTTACAACATTATACAAAATTTGCTTTCCAAACCCACCCATCATATTTTTCTTGCTATACACTCTCAAACTCTTTTCTTTTTTTCTCTCAGGCAACAACGCCACACTAAAATTTTGCTTTTAGTTAGAGGTAATGATGAATCAGGTTGTTCATTCAAGCAGGTTGGTTGGGTTGGGTTTAAGTTAAAATTTTTAGCTGTAGATTCAACAATATTTTTATTTAAAATTTAATTGTTTTACTAATACAAATATTTAAACATTTTACTATTAAATATTAGTACTGATTATATGCATGTTGATCAAAATTTTTAAAATTGTATATTTAAAAGGATTTAAATATGTAATGTCAATAAATTAAAATTAAAGATTAAAAAAAATGTGGAAATGATGAGCAAGTGGTTTCGGGCCCGACCGCCATTAAAATTGTAGATATATATTAATTGAGGTAGACTTTTTGGCAAAGTAAAAATCGATCTGTGACAGTTTGATATGAATATGATAGCAATGTGACTAACAAAATCTTCTGGGGATTATTTGGGTGGGGATTTTCTCTTCACCCTATCGTACAAGTTACATAATTTATATATTTAATGATTGTTGATGAATGATGCATGTAATTGAATTTCTTATATAAAAGAAATTACAGACTGAATCTAAAAAAAAAATATGAGTAATGAAATTTGAACTATAAATTAAATTGTTGATTGATGATGGATGCATTTTAACCTAAATGTATAGTTTGTAATCTTTAGTTGTTAAATCATTAGATTTAGGCGGGGCCTTCAAACATTGACATCTTAACTAAAAAAAAAAAATCTGAAATATCAACTGCCAAGGCCATGTGATGCAATAGCATGATCATTTCACCAATTCGACAACAAACCAACCTATATGAATTATCCTATTAAGTTCAACAAAATCCAAGACGATAATCATTTTACGAAAAAGTTACAAATAATATTTTTCTTTTTCGAAAAAGTTTAAATAGTACTCTTATCATATTCATACTAATTCGTAATTGCATGTTTTGCATGGAAATTATCAGGGTACAATTTCATTCACAAAAATCAAACAATAGGATAGGCTTTTTTATTCAAAAATCAAGCTATACATATAGTAGAACAAGACTTTGGTATATGAATTAAATTATTTTTTCCATACCTTTCCCCTTCCAACAGTACATTATTCAATCCATTTCTCAAAACCTCAAAATTTCCACACCAAGATTTCATGTGATAAATTTGTCTATGAGAGTTTGAATGTATAAATGTAAATTCCTCAAAATCATGGAGAGATTTTTAACGTAAAAATAGAATAAAAGAAAACAATAACTAGAGCAATGAAGAATTGATCTGCTAAGGAGATTGTTTTGTAAGTTGTTTTTTTATAAGTGCGATTTATATTTAAAGATGACCACTTGAGCTCCATGGATAAAGAGGATTGGGATCCACAGAGTTCTGGCTCATATATAATTCGCCCCGAAACACATTTGAATTCTCCCAGGCTCCATTCCTATCGCCCAAAAAAAAAAAAAAAAGCATGTCTTAGGCTTTTATTTAATTTCTTTTGGCTCATATGTACAAATTGCATGATATTTAATTTCATCACCCATAATTTATATAAGGTTAGTTTCCTTTTTTTTTTCTTTTTTTTTTTACAAAGGAACATACCTTGAGGATAAAAGAATTAAGGTATTATAAGCACTGAATTTTGAATATTAGATTTTTTGTATACCACTTTTTAAAAATAATTGAATAGACAATCTAAACTAAGTTCTAATTTCATGGAAGTGCATAGATTTTATTTCTACGTAGATGTATTTGATATTCTCATTTGACAAAAACACATATAAACAATTTCGATTATCAGTTAAATCAAAGTTTTTTCTTTATTTTTTTAATATATTAAAGTCTTACTATTGAATCTCTAACAGAGAAACATAACATATATACATTACGAATATTTAATTCAATGATAGATGCATTTTTTTTTTCCCAAAGTTGACAGAAACAAGAACCAAGTTATAAAGGTTTTTACCATATGATTAAGAGCCTTTCTAGTACAAACTTATCTAAAAGATAGCAAAGGGTATTAATCAACCCGGTGTGTTAGGCTAGTTTACTGTCAAAACTCAAAAGCTTTTGCCACTGACTGTTGTATAAAGGATTTGATTAGCTAGAATTGGAACATAAATAAGCAACAAAGTTACCAAATACTACATATAAAAAACAAAGTAACTTTAACCTAAAAAGCAAACAGAAAAGAGAGAGAGAGAGAGAAAGAATTGAAATTACTTGCCTCAAGTTGTTGTCCAACAGTGACAATAATGGTGTCTGGAGCAGCATCAAAAGTTAAAATTCGTGGCCCAGATTTGACAGAAAATTCGCAATGCTTGGTTGGGAGGTGGAGGCTTAAAGTATAATCACGAGAATGGTTGTTTTCTTCTTCATTTAGATGTGGGTTTTGGTCTGTGATCTTATCATGCTCGTAATTGTACTTGTATATGCTCAAAAGGGACTCCCCTCTTTGCAATCTCTTCCTTGGTTGCTTGCTTACATTTTCAACCAAAACCTTCAGCAATTCTTCCGCAATTTCTTCAAGTTTGCTCGCTAGTTTCTCCATCTTTTCACTATTTAAAAGTGGAGGAAACAAATTAAACAATTGATAAATACTATACAAAAACATTGAAACACATGTCAAACATCGTTATATGCATACATAGTTTCAATGAATTTTTGAACAAATTTAATAGGCTGACTCTAGTTTATCAGTTTTTTAACCCCATTTGTGAATACGGAAAACGAAATATATATAAATATTATCAGCTAAAAATTTATATAAAAGTATATATATATATGTGTGTGTGTGTGTGTGAATTTGGCAGGAAAATCAGTTTTTTTTTAAATGATTTATACTGCCAATTAAATCATTGTGTAGTTTGTTAATGGAGTATTTAATTATGCTTTCAAAACAATTCATATAGCTTTATTATTATTATTATTATTTACAAATGAGGTTAAACGGCCGCAATAGTATAGAAAGAAAACAGGATTCTAAGTTAGGCCCAAGTAAATTATATATATATTTTTCTAAACTAAGCCCAAGTAACTTAAGTGTGCAGTTTCTAATAAACCAGAAGGCCCAAAAAGCCCAATAAATAAACAATAATACTTTTTTGTCTGTTGAAGGAGCTGGATAGGATCATTTGGTTTATATCAAAATGATTGGATAAAATATTTGAGTTTAAATTTGATTTAAAATTTATTATTTAAAATTTGATTAAATCTCAATTAAATTTTAATTATTAAATTTTAAGTTGGTTTAAAATAAAAATTAAATTATTTAAATTTATTTAATTATATTCATTTAATAAAAATAAATTTTATTTTCATATTCGATTTTAAATTTAATTTTAAACTCAATTTTATTTTCAAATTCAAACTTTGAAATATATATAAAAGATATAATATAATATTTTATTAAAATAATAAAATATATTAAAATTAAAAAACTGATTAAATTCGTTAATTATTGAAGTCCTTTTATATATATAAATATATATAATAAAATAATATTTTTATTAAAATAATAATAATATATTAAAATTTAAATTTCAATTAAATTTGTTAGTTGTTGGAGTTTGATATTGAAATTTTTAAATTTAATTTATTTCATAAGTTGAACTCAATAAATTAAATTAAATAAACTTAAATTCAATATAATAACAATTAATTGAATTTTAATTTTATTCAAATCAAAATCTAAATAACTTAAGAGCATTAATGTGGTGTTTATATACTTACCTGAAACTCTGATATAATTGAGGGCCGATATATTGACGTGCCCACTCCAACCTCTCGTCTTTGCAACGGACCCATACAATCTCCTCCCTCTTTCCCGCCGTGTATCTTCTAAATCCAGTATCTTTCTCTTCCAACACTACGAACACTGTAGCCGCCTCTTTCACCAACGCCTTCAACTCCTCCTCCCCCGTATTATCAATCCCATGCCACCCGATCCCCACCACCCCAAACTCCCGCGCCGATCGCATGAACCGTTCCACCGAATCAGTCTCTCTTAAGGCGACCGATTTGAAATCGATTTTCTCAGGTGGGCATTGGTGGTGGAGGGCCTGGGACACGGGTAGCGTGAGGTCGGGGATATGTAACGATTTCTCGAGAAAGTCGGTTAAGCTTTCGTTGGCAGCGGAGCGTGATCCGGTGGAGGTTAGGGTAGGTGATGGAGGTGGGGCCTTGATGTTAAGCTGGCTCATAGAGCGTATGATAGCCATGGAGGCGTCGAAGAAGAAGAAGAAATGAAGAAAAGGAGGGTTCGGTTTTGGCATTAAGAAAGAAGTTGGCACAATGTCTGTTTGTTGCACTTGACACGTGTAAGCTTTTGACTGCCATGGTGGAATTTTGATTCATCTGATTTGCCACGTCATCACAGGCCTTACTTTTTGCTTTGGGCCTTTACTTGGGTTTTGGGCTTTTTACTGTACTAACTCATGAAAGCAATTAAGGATTCTAATCCTTTTTTTCATATTTCTTTCCAATTTCCCCGCTCTTTCACTATCACTCCAATAGGATCAACTTTCTTTTGGGGCAAAGGAAATCAAGAGGCAATTATAGGTGATTTATGCGTAAAGGCAAACCAAGTCTTATGCTCTCATAATAAGATTTCAGGTTTATAATTTCTAAAAAATATTTTTCCATTAAAATTTTTATATATATATAATCTAAGTGTTTTTAATTTGGTTTTAATCGAATTGATTTAATTATGTTAATAAATCGGTTATTGAAAATAATTTTTAAAAAATTTTAATTTTTGATTAATTTGATTTTTGAATTGAATTATGTAAAATTTATTCATTTCATTACAAGTTATTAGAGTTTTTAACTTAATATTTTGACGTTTAAATATTTTTATTAAATGATTTTATTTAATTTATTTCATATATGAGAAAATAAAAATTTAAAATATAATTTAACTTAATGTATTTTATTATTTGATTAATCGAAAAAATTAATCGAATTGATCGAATTAATCGATTAATTTTTAAAATTAAAAAATTTGATTCGATTAATAAAAATAAAATAACATAAGTCGATTTTGAATAATTCGATTCAAAATTAATTAAGCCAACCAAATAAATATCCCTAAATCTAACTCATTACTTACTGTACTTCAATCGTATCAAGATGAGAATTGTAGCATAAGTAAAGGCAAAAATTGTAGTCTGAGCAAAACATACCTTATCCACGTCTAAGACTTAAATTATGTCTCATGTTTAGTCCTGTAATATATCAAAGATGCAGGTAGTCCTATAACAATACAGTTTTCTCAATCCAGAATATATGTATACAGTGATGTTTTACGGAATACTCTCCTCACAGTCTGTGACACATCGCAATCTGCATTTGTTATTCAATTAAACCAGATTGAGGCTATTCAGAACTTGTACAAGCATCGCTACTTGAAACACAACAGAAAGCAACTATAATATTAACAGAGAGATTGATGAGATTTTAACCATCTAAATCTCCAACATAGTTTTCGTCGTGATCTTGAAATCCTTTCACTCAGGCTGCTATCACGACATGCCTGGCCTGAAACCTCTCTCTGCCGGCTCCTGAAATCCAATGTTCTCCACTGCTCCTATGGTCTTGAACAAACGCATTTTGTTTATCTCTGCCATTACGTATCGGTGAAGCAGCCGGCTGCGTATGTCCACAAGTGAGCGTATCTTTGTTAGCTTCCGCTGGCCGTTTAAGTGAGTCGACCTCCATGAATCAAGTTGTGCGTCGCACTGTTTGTCGCTGTAAGCTCTCGTGCTCTCTGATGGACAAAATCTTGTAGATTTGAGGGTCTTTGGAAGGCAGGGGTGCTCTCCTTGTTGAAGATTCAAATCAAAGTCATCTTCATAATTGATGCAAGAGTACTGGAACGAGTTCATAGAACAACTGGGACTTGCATCTCCATTGCTGACTATATCTGCTAGAATCAGCATGTATTGTCAAATTTAGGACAGCAAAAGAAGACAGATCATATAGAGAAGCAAGATAACAGGTTTTCCAATGATGGCCGAGCTGTTGATAACGATTAAACGTACCTTGGGGCCAATTGCAATTGGAAGTCACGTTTTTCCCATGATGAAATTTAGTTTCGTAGGAAGAAACTAAATTTGGGAGGGAAACTTGGGAGGAAGAATGAGAGGAGGTAGCATAGAAAGGATGGTAGATTCCATTATGGTCATCATCTTCGTCGTCATCTTCATACATGAAGCTGTGCTGATGATGCACTTGAGTGGAGCCCCAGTCCTTCCAAGTTGGAACGAGGGAAGATATCTCCTCCTCTATCATATCAGCAATCTCCAATGGTTCCCAGTCATTGATCTCCAATTCTTTAACCATCTCCAAGGCAACATCAATTGCAGTGTCATTTACTATGTCAAAGGGAAAATAGATGTTCTGAGCAAGGCCTGTAATAAGGGAAACCATTAATTAAGAATGTACAAGGCATGCAATATGACATGTTGCACGCTGTTGACAGAAATTGAACCTTGTTAAGACAGATTTAGATTAGTCCAATAAATATTTTTTTGAAGATTTCATCACTTTGGATGAATTTCTTCGGTATGTAAACAATGGTAATCAAGAGTTTTCACATTGCGTTAAAACATGAAAGCTAATCGGTGGTAATAATATGCAGAAATTAGAATTTCTTCAGATTAACACCAAAAGGTAGTGTATAGCACAAAAACTTAAGGCAGTACCTTCCTTGTGTGTAATCTGTACTTCGAGAAAAATAGTGTCATTTTCAGGATCCATTGTGCCAGTTATTGACATGTCAGTACTCCTTGTTGGATCAACCTGCACAGAAGGCACTAGCTCAGCGACTGAGCCATTAGGAGTTAGTTTTTGGCTCAAGAGTCTAGGGATGGGCAGCTGATTCCCTTCATCAGAGGCCAAAAATGGGTGAAGCAAGAGTTCATGGGCGGGCAACCTTTTAGAAGCATTCTCCAGGCACTTCCCAACAAACCTCATGGCTTCCTCATCTTGAATCCTGTAGAATGCCTCTGGCAACTTTCCCTGGAGAGTAAAGAAGCAATATAGCACTTACATGTTAATTCAGTGGTTGACTTTATTGAAGTTAATGAACCTGAATACAACTCACCGAAGTCACTTTCTTGTAGATTTGAGCCGGATTGGAGCACTCACTATACGGATACTCGGAAGTAAGCATCTCTAATACGCACATGCCAAAGGAGTATATGTCGACTAGCTCATTGTAATTCTCCTCGTATAGCTCTGGTGCCATAAATTCTGGTGTACCTAGTGTTTATATATAAAGATATATATGCATGGTTACCTTTAAAATCAGACAGACTTGATTAATTTTATAAAATTTCAGAGGATGATGGAAATTGAGAGCATACCTATAACACTATGGGCGTGTTGTGACCCGCGGAGAATGGCAGCTAGTCCAAGATCACCAATCTTAACTTGTCCAAGGTGACCATTGACAAAGATGTTATCACACTTAAGATCTCTATGTATCACCGGAGGGTCATTGCCATGCAGATACGCTAGACCATGTAGAATTTGGCGAGACCAGTTCTTAATTGCTCGCATATCGACACGCTGGTACCTCTTTCTGTACCTGTATTACATGCTACAACATATTAAAAATAACACTACAATAACACTTCACAAATGTATCTGTTCAACTGACAGCAAGGTCTTCTGATTAGTACTCTCTAAGGGTCCCGGATGTGAACATCTCAGTGATGAAGTTGAAAGTTCTACGATCAATATCGACCCAAGATATGTAGAATCGCATGATGGAATCATGGTTGAGGTTCTTGAGGAGGTGGACCTCAGAGTAAAGCCGCTGCAATTCCTCTGGTGAACGGAAGACATCATTAAGCTTCACCTGGTTCCATGCCACCTCCATTGCAAGGACCTCATCAAATGCCCTATACACTGTCTTCATGGCTCCTTTACCAAGAATCTCCCTGAACTGCAGGGAAGAGAAATTCTCATGTATCGTCACATATTCAGTCATTTTAAAACTTAAACAATCAATGAACAATTCCTTCATCTATATGATCAGGAAATTAATAGATTGAATATCCCGGCATCTACTATCATTTTGATATATAATTAATGAGTCATCAATGTTTATATCAGATAAATCTAAGAGATTAACATCAAAAACTGTTGTCTAAATTTCTAGCTAGGGAAATTGAAAGAATCTCTTCAGTGCGTTAATTGGAACATTAGAATAGTGGTGCAGGAGAGTTAATTATATTATTATTCTATACATGAAACAATCTCACAAGGCCGTTGACCGAAGGAATATGGATCAAGTAGTTCAATTTTTATAAGCAATCTTAAACTAATCTTGAACTATAGATCATGAATTATGCTTAAAACCAATTTCGTTCCAAGGATTCTTTGTTATGTTTAATGCTGTAGCAGACACTATATATAGTTATATTTTTTTATTAATCTTATCTAACTGACGATTTTTCCCAATATTACATCAAAGAAAAAGAATCAAAACACCACATCACAAAAAAAGAACTGTACCAAACAATTGTTACTGAAAAGAAGGCACCCTCAAGTCAATATGACATGCAATTTATCCATTATCATTGCAAAAGATGTTGGGATATTTCATTCATACTCAACAGCTGATTTTATTGAACCTAAAGCAAGAAAATTAAGTTCATCTTCAATTCATGCATCAATCAAAAAGCAAAAATTTAGAGTCAATGAACAAAAACTTACACGTCCATACCGACCAGATGGATCGGTTTCAACGTATCCAAGCTGAGATTTAACTCCATCAACACATCCTCCTAGACGTGTTTTGTACATGGTCTGAGAAATCAGGCACCCTCAAAACCTCTCGGGGTTATTGTAATAAAAAAATCTTCAGAACACAACTATTTTATTCTACTTGTATAATTCAAGAACAAGTACAGATAGGATTATAGAAGAAAGAAACTTGATGATGATCGTATGGAGATGAACTAGATGATCCGAGGCTTTCCTTCATGATTTTCATAGGAAAAAACACCAAACAATACCCAAAACAGCCTTGAATAATCGACACTGAGCATAATCCAAGCCATTTCCACAACTGCGTGAGAGAAGCCGTAGTAGTCAGTGGAAACCATTTAGTCCTTTGAGAGAGAGACAAGAGTCAAGAATATATGTTGGTATAAACAGATACTGTCGAAGAAGATTTTTAGAGCCAAAAGAAAAAACTGTAGGTGTAGGCAAAGACTGTTGAGAGGTTGGTATGGTGGGAAAAGAGAATAGTTCGTGTCAACCAATGGGAAAAAGGAAAAAGCCTTTTGTTAAGCAAATGATATCAAATCTGGGTTTGTGGAGGAGAATCGTCTTCTGGGGTATGAAACAGAAATTCTACAAATTGAATTGATATGTGGGAGTTGGATATTGGCAAGAAACTAGACTTCTAAACTTGAAAAACCTATGGCTAAGCTTTGACAGCACCATTTGTGGAGGAGAAAGCAATCGCAAGGATAGATTTTGGATTCGGATGAGCTAAAAGATTACAGATTGTGAGATATCTGAGAGAGAGAAAGGCTTTTTTGGTTGCAAATTAACAAGAAAACTGTGGAAAGGGAGGGTTGGCGATGAAAATATAAAGAAGAAAGATGAGAAGCAGATGGGATGGGAAACAGCGCTGATCCTTCCTACCAAATTACAAAGCTGACGCAATTTGACACTAAAAATATATAATGCATAATGTTCATAGGAAGAGTTCATGTTTGATTTATATTATTAATTAGAGTAAATTGAAAGAATTTTAACGAAATATTTCATATTAATTTCTAAACTATCAAAAGGTTTTTTTTTATATATAAAAAAACTATCAAAAGTTACGTATTTCTCTCCAAATATATAAACTCGTCGTGATCGTTTCATCAAAATTTTGCCAAGTTTACATAACGTACGTACAAATATGAAAATTTTATATAATTATAATTTTGAAATAATATATAATCTATATATATATATATATATATATATATATATATATACACCTTTTTCTTTTCTCTCTTACTTTTCTGTTCTCCACTCCTTGAATAAAAACAAAGCTTGAAACTTAAAACCTAGGTTTAAGTGGTTGAGCAGTGGGTTGTTAATTGATTAGATCCAAGTGGTAGAGGTTTCGTTTGATAATTGATTGCTTTGGTTATCAATTTTTTTTTTTTTGCAAAGTGGCAATTTTTTTATCTAAAATTCATATATTTATATAATATAAAATATTAATAATTGATATATTTATATTATATTTTATATAAAAATTATATATTATAATTTATATTGATATGAAAATATAAAATAATATTTATTATTTCATTAAATTTATATAAAATTTTTATTAAAATTTTAAATTATATTATTTTTATGACAATTTTTTTATATTTTTATATCATATCATCAATTATATTTTAAATTATTAAATTTTTTTTCCTTTGTTTCTAAACTAGTAGAATCGTGAGCATAAAAAATGAAAGGAAATTTTCTACACCAGATCCCAATAGCCACCGTCAACATCACCAATAGTAACCACCGAAACCATCATATACAGTTCCACTTCCACTTAAACAATTAATACCCATAAATAAGACATAAAAAAAAAAAATCACCAAAAACCTAGCTCAGCAGCCTACATAAGAAACCCACAACACCACACGGCAAGAAATGTACAAAAAAATTCAAAAAAAAAAAAGAAAAAAGAAAATAGAGTTTCGAGCTTAAGTGAGTTTAAATATATTAATATATGAAAAATTATTTAATACTGATAATGAAACTTTTTAATTATATAAACGAAATTAAACTAATAACGCATATCTCACTTTTTTTTAATTAATTATTTTAAATATAAAAAAACATGTCATCATCTTAATTTCGTATATAAAATTAAAAAAATTTATTATGATAATTTCTCCTAATATATATAAGTAAAATGTTTGTGTGCACTCCCAAAATTTTTTTAAAAATTAAAAAAAAAAAAATTTTTTTAAAAATTTTGGTGCTCTTTTTTTTTTTTTTGTATATTTGCTTTCTTTAAAATGGAAATGGCAAATTATGAACTTTTTTTTTTTTTAAAGAGAACTGTTGCTCCCAGTGCTCAATTATGAAAGAGAATCTGAGTTATACCTTTCAACCAGAAATAGTACTTTTAGTTTGGTGGGGGTCTTCTAAATTGGATTGGAAAGCACTGTCTAGGGACATTAGCTAATTGCGTGGATGCCATAATGAAATTTTCAATAATATTAAGAGAAGAAGAATCAAAATTGTTGAAATCCAACTTCAATTTTTTAACAATTTATCTCATGTCAAAAAATGATTGAATCATTTAAAATTAAATCTCATGGTTCTCAATGAATTTTTTCTATAAAAAAAAATCATAATCCAGTAAATAATAAGAGAAGAAGAATCGTAAATGTTGTTACCGAAATTTAATTTTTTAAGAATTGATCTGAATAAATCATTGCAGCTAAATCTCGTACTCTAAATACAACAGTGATTTAGTGAAAATCTTTAAATCCCAGAAATATATAGTATCATATAATGAAGTTTTGAAGTATTGCAGTAGGTGCTGATGAGTATAGGGATGGTATTGCCATCGTTGACATTCATGTAAGTGGTCCATAGAGACAGGCAGACACATCAGATATGTTCAAATTCAATAATGCATTCAATGATCAAATCTTAAAATTTAGTATTCAAAACCCCCCTTTTTTAAAAAAAAAAAAAATTTAAGAGTTAACGGAAGTTATCTTATCTCTAAGGTTAGAGTAAATTAACAACTTAATTGAAATTTACGGATCAATTAAACTTTCACTTCATTAGAAAATTTTTTGAAATTACAGATTATCTACCAACAAATAACCATGAAATGATTCAAACCTGAATACTAATACATTTAGCATTTGTCCCTTACCACTTTTGCCAAACCTCGTTGGTAGAACTCAACATCTGTTCACAAAGATATAGTGAAAAAGATACATGGCTTCAAACTTTATGGACAAAACAAGTAAATGCAAATATAAAATTTTCATTTAAATTAATTAAGATGATAAATGATGCATGGAAGAAATCTTATATAATTAACCAAACAAACAAATCAATCATATAATTTTTAATTTTATGAAATTAAAAATTATATAAATTGACAAGTTGTCCCTAATTAAATTTTGTTGATTTTTTTAAAAATAAAAATAGACCATAGAAGAAATCTTAACCTCAATTTCATGTTTACTTTTTCAATCATCCATCCATAAAAAAAAAAAAAAAAGTGTAGGAAGAAAAGATTGAAAATGAAACACAAAGCGTGCAATTTCCAATATAGAAATTACAGTTTGGAGAGGTGATTGATTGAGTTGGGTGAATGAATCAAACACCTTTTTTTTGAGTGAAGAGTTGACAAAAATTACAACCTTTCCTTTTCATTTCCTTATCGTTTGCACCTATTATTATATGCAATTGACATCATTATTATTATTATTTTTTTAACTTCTCCACATAATTTGTACGAGTGTACAGGGGAGGGGTTGACCATTTGTGATTGTGCATTAGGTATGGTATAAGGTTGTAATAATTTTGTAGAAATTTGTACATGTCTGAATCTGATTTTGCCACTTTGTTTCTTTCGTTTTTCTTGGTTTGTCTCAACCATGCAGCATTAAATGACAATTTCAAACGTTTAAGACTGTTTTGAGTTGATTTTTTTTAATTATAATATAAGTTTGACCAAAAAACAAAATCGCAATTGGAGAAAAGAAAAGAGATGACCATAAATTTTCTTTTATCATAAACCAAACGTTCTTTCATGAATCTCACACATGAAAGACGATTAGAAGTATATTAGAAAATAATATAAAAATAATCCATATATAATCCTTCCCTCCACTCACTCTTCCTTTTAATTTCTCATGACTTTTTATTAAACATATTGATTATGATTTATATATTTGTATCATGTAAAATAATAAAATTTATATTTATATTATATTTTACATAAAAATTATATATTACTATTTATATTAATATAAAAATATAAAATATATATTTTTATTTTGTTAAATTCATATATAATTATTATTAAAATTTTAAATCGAATCACTTTTATATTTTTTATTATATTATATTCATATTATATTATCATATCATATTTTAATTTGTCTAACCTACTTTTTATAACTTCAAGATGGGTACGAAACAGTACTGAGGTTGGCATGTATCTTACCCCAATCAAATTACAGGCCCGCCTACATGACACAAACAAACGACAAACAAAACAGTGCTGTTCTGCAGCTGGATGACAAGGGTTAGGACTGGGATTCCAAAAGCAATAAGCCGACCAGCCGAGTTTCGCCATTGGAGGAACATGCAGAAGAGAAGAAAGCTAGATATATCAAAAAAACCAGAAACATTAAACCATTACAGCTGCAAAAAGAACCCTATTTTGCGGTATAAGTTACATCAACAATCAGCGATAACAATATATGTGTCTATGCATTTTGCCAAGCACAAGTGGCAGAGACATCAAAACCTGGGCAAGAAAAAATAAAAGCATAACTTGACAATCCTATATACATGAATAACTCCCTAAAAAGTACTGCTACGATTATTAAAGGGAAATAAATTAGTAGAATGTACAAAATGCCTTTGACCCACACAAAAATAATGAAACTCCATACATATAGCTTTGGAATGGCTATGAAAGTGCCATATTCACACAAGCTGAGGCTCAGGATGGCTTTGTTAGCATTAACGATTCTATTCTTCCAAACTTTTCAACCGAATAAATTAAGATCGTTCCTTTCTTCCCAATGTTTTCATATGGATAAAGGTGGAAAGTCTTCTTCATTTTTTAAATGGAATGATTGTACGAGTATCCTGCATGTTAGAAGAGAAAGCTCAGAGAGAATAGCATACATATTTACCCTGCTGCAAAGAATTTCCGATGAAACACTAAATTCTCAAACCTGTTCTGATCCATGCCCACAGCAGATTTTGGCCTTTGCATTCCTAGTTGTGGGTGACTTGAAATCGAGTTTTGAGCATGAGGAGAACCTGGGTTATGTTGCTTGCTACTTTCTGTAGAAGCTGACCCTAAAAGTAGGGGCCCAATTGACCCAAATTCTACAACCCTGTCTGCCTGAGGCATTGTGCCATTGGCATTAGGGGATAACACTTTTTCAAAACCAGAGTGGCAGAGATCCGAAGACCAAGATTTTCCACCACCTTGATTTAATAACTGCACTTGTGCCAGGTCCTGGCTGCTTCTCTCTGGTGAATTGGTCTCTGGAGATGTAATGGCATTGCCATTATTGCGAGGAGACCTTACTGGTGCTGGATTACTTCCCCTTGCTGTCAAGGACCTATCCCTGTAATGGTTCTGCAAAAAGATTCAAGCAAAAAACTACAATGAGACAACAAGGTCCAACCAGAAAATTTTTAACAAAAAAAAAAAAAAAAGAGCAACAGCAAAATGCCACTATGATGCTGCAAGTTAGCACCAGAGACTAAATTTCATATTTTCAGCATAAGTTTAAGAATCCCAATCCAAAGGCTTAGAATGAGTATACCGAGTTGGGGTTGGGAAAGTATGTCCCTGTTCCACGAGGCTTTGGCATTTCTTCCATTCCAAAGCCTGTGCCATGTAGCATTGGTTGTTTTGTGGGATAGTAGGCTTGCCGTTGGACAACACCATTAGCATTCACCGAGGAAATTGCATTTTGCCTGAACTGCATTGACTTTCGTACTACATCCCATGAATTCTTGCTCTGGAACTGAGAAACCAATGGTGAAGAAAGTGGAGGAACAGATGCACTGAAGGCACGGTCATAGCACCACTGACAATAATTCAAACTATGTATGTGAGTATCATAATCGCCAGACAATGAGCTCAAAGATTCCTGATTTCCAGCAGCACTACAGGAAGCAGGATAACGAGAATATCCAGGATATAGATCCTCAGATGACCAAGCAGAATTTGAAATCAACGGATGGTGCTTTGATCCAACAGGGGATTGAATCCCTTGACCAACAATCAACTGATTCTCAGTGTGATCATCATATACATTAGTACCCATCTCCTCTCTGCTTGCTGGAAGAATACCAGACCTCACATTCTTTTCCGTATGGCCGGAATTTTCCGGCTGTTTGCACTCTGCATTTTCATTTCTTATATCTCGATCATCCAAAGAAGAGATACAGAAATATTGATGAGGCGCATGCCATACATTATCTGATGAAGAAACATTCTCCTCCGCATTCGGAGGGCAAGATTTATGTGCATCATTTGAAATTACAAGACCTTGAATTCTGGAGGTTGCCAGGTCTTTAGCATCCCCAGAGGGATGCATTTCTGAAACACTTAAAGTGTTTGCATAACCTTGTGGTTCATTAAGGGTTCTACTAAAATTTGTTTCCCTCCCAGATACATTACCATTATTGACTTTGTGCAATGATCCCTCATTATCAGATCTACAATTCCCATTCATGGTACTTGAATTTGAAGATTCTGATTCACAAAACGTTTGATCTTCTTGACATGACTCTGTACCTGAAACTGATGATGTAGAAACAAATCCTCTGAATCTAGAAAATGGGGCAGGATCTTGAACATCCGGCCTCTGTCCACTGCCATGCCTATCCAGAGTGTTTGAGAAAAACTTACGAAGTTCATCTGCTATGCTTTCTTCTGCCTGGGAAAGAATCCACCCCAGCTTCCGAGCCCCATAAGTAAAAGCACTTCTTATACGATAAAAGTTCCCTACAGATGAAAAGGTACATTATGATTGACCTTTAATTCCTCTTGATCAATTCAAAAATCAAAAAATAACCATTAAAAGAAGATAGCCTGAATATCCCTTTGTCACAATATCTGAAGAACTATGTCTGCTATCTTCAAGGCTTAAAAAGTTTTGAGTTCAAATGAAAAAAATAGTGGACTTTGCTGGAAAAGTGATTCTACCTTTGCTCACACTGCGACCAAGATTATTGTTTTCTCTTAAAGGATCTACTATGTTTAGATGCTTTTTTGGGAATGTGCGTGAATTAGTCTCAAATCCCGTTGACGGAACTGAGAACTTTTCCACACATTCCCTGAGAAAATCATTGCTGAACAGTAAATCTCCCCCACCATTTTCGGGCGTCTCAACTACAAAAGAAAAGATCAATGACATAAGCAACTTAATCATGTATAGAGTAAAGCAAACATAATTGGGCATGAAAGCAAAATGAAGTTGCTCACCCACAACATCTGGCAGCGAGGATATATGGATCAGACCATTCAAACTGATGCAGTAGTTGTCCCAATCAAATTTGCTAAAGTAATCCAAAAATTTATATAAAACCTGTAAAATATTCAATCAGTTACATTTATGTGATCAATTTGTTTATACTGCCAAAATTCCTGCAGCACTCACTGCTAAAGGACCATCTAGTGATGAGTGGAATAGATGGAAAATGTACAGCACCAAAGTCTCCAAAGCATAGGTAGAAATCAAGCCATGATGAGCCCCAAGAATACGACTCTCATAGTAGCACCAAGCCTTTATCAATATAATACTGCGTTTAAATAGATGATCTTTTCCAATAAGACGATCAACCTGTAAAATTACCAGGGATGTCAATTTAAAAAAAAAAAAAGAAAAAGGCACATTTCTGCTTGATACCCGATATGATATATAGCCACCCCCATAATCATGCCAGCTATCCCAATATGTACATACATGGAAAGATAGTATAACAGAAATCTTATATCCATATCTCAATTTTAACATAGATCTGCTAACATTGACACGTGAAATGAGGACAGAGAAGAAGTTGATTACCATCTATTTAATGAGAGAGAGGGAGAGAGAATATTTTTTTTTCTATTTGCAGATGACCTCAATTAAATTGTAAGTAAATGGCTTTCATTCCCAAATTCTTATAATTTAACCTACCTGCTCAAGAAAGCACAAGGTACATAGCCCCCCTAACTGATTAAAAGAGATATCAACCACAATGTTCTGCACCAGACACTTTACAAGCTTAACCTGCCACCAGAGAAGCCAAATTTTATGATCACCATCTACATAAGAGATTAAAAAATTTCTGAAATGTACATTTTTCCAACAAAAAATCATCTCAAATCATATGTGTGGGGAGTATCTCATATAATGCAAGAGAATATAAATATGTAATCATTTCCATTATGCATACCAATCAAATATAGGATGGTAAAGAAAACCATGTAGTAAAATCCTTGCCAAGTAAAAGAACCAACATATTTTAATAAGGCCATGGATGCACCATAATCTGTTTAATGAGATTAATCTCCTACTCTCTAAATCACGAAGCTATAAATTGTTCATACTCATGAAGCAAAATTTTCAGACACCCTTGCTACAGAGGGATATAGTTGCTTGGATACTCTAAGGTATCCACACACTAGTGACAAAGGACAAATAGTTATATACCCCAGTCCACAAATTGACAAAGAAGATCAACTTGATCAGCATACAACAAAAGATATTTACCTGGGGAAAACAATTAAATGGCTGCAAATATAAAATGAATGGTTGTGGCAAATATCAGAATGGTACAAAAGATGAAAGGTTGACCTCTTACTAAAGCTTAGTTAAAGTATCTGCAAAATATAAATAAATAAACCTTATAAAAATTTTCCTTCTGTACTTGAGAAAAGAAAACACAACTTTGAGACGAGTAGTTAGGATCTATGATATGACACAATGCAAAAAGTGCATAGGCAACATATTTTACAAAAGAAACTGTTACCCTCAACAAATCAGCAATAAAATGCTGCATAGCAGAAAGTGTTGGTTGCCATCCTCCAAATTCCACCCATAAAACTATAATTTCTGTTTGAAAGCAAACTTAATATCTCCAAGACTACAGCTAAGAAGTAGAGATGACCAGACAAATTATGCACAATCCTAAAGTGGAAAATATTATTGTGGTCTTTAAGAGTATAACATTTAATTGGAGAAAATATTCCATGTGGATAGCATATATCACCATCTGAGCATTGAAATCATTAGTCCTAGTGTTTTTCCAGAAACAGCATTCATCAAAATGACAATAAGAAAACATGTAGGTGAATCAAAATAATTTTCTGCTAAGTTGTCCATGTAATAATGACCCTAAAATAAACGGTTGAGTTGGAGAATTACAAAATGAATATAGACATAAATGTAAACAACAAAAAATAAGGGATGAAGTAAACCTAATGTAAACAGGTTAGTCTCTTATGCATTCAGAGAACAAATAATTTCACTCAACAAAGATCTGTATTAGGAAGTTAAAAACCTCTGCCCGAATTAATTGGACATCCTTCACCACAAACTCTGCAGCACTATTACGGTCTTCTCTTTCAAGGACAGAACATACATAATTGGCCAGAGCCTCCTCAAAGTTTAGGACACCAAAGACTGTCAAATCAATATCTCCATCAGGAAGATAGGTCTTCAAAGGCACTGACCCAAATGGAAATACCTGTAATAAATACAAGATAAATTATTAATATCTATCTGAACTGTTCACTAGTTCAAATCAAATATTCTTACGATCATGATCACAATAATAAATAACTATGAGAACAAGAAAAACAAAAGGATGAAAATTTTGAAAGATGAGATATAGGTCCCCACTGGTAATATTGAAATAAAATGTACAAATTACTCTGTCATCAACAGTCAGATTCCCTACAGCTGCAAACAATAAGGGGGCAGTTGGTTCGCAGAATCTTGGATTCCGGGGGAAAGTATGATATTAGGGAAAATTTGATACCCGGGGTTTTGTTTGATTTTCAGGGCATCCCATAATCAAATTCACTCATTTGGTTGGGGGGAATCTTGGTTTATTAATTCATATATAATTACCATAATCTCTTTGATAAGCTGTAGGCAACCTTTTATTTTGTTTTAATACAAAAAACCCAAACAACAAATGATGCCTTATGCAGTAAAAGAAAATAAATATTTTAATTTTTTTAATTAAATATACCCAATTATGGCATTTAACTAGACATCAAGCCGTAATTGCTGTACTAAAATATAAAAAAAAAAATCAATTATGGCATTTGGAAGAGCTAAATGCCTTCTTTGTTTTTGTAAATATGTTGGAAAAAGCATCAAATAAGGTGTTTGTAAAAAGGAAACACCTTATTTGAATGGGTCAAATAAAGCGTATGTTCAAAGAAATGCCTTATTTGATGCTTTTGTAAAGATTCTGAAAAAAGTATCAATTAAGGTGTTTGTTCAATGCAACGCCTTAATTAATATCAATTAAGGCGTTGGCATTTTAAGGAAGAAAGGCCTTAATTGATTAAAACTGAATTTTTCCTTAATTGCCACATATTAAAACTGAATTACAATTAAGGCAAAAAAAATTTTTTTAAAAGCTAAAACTAAGTTTCAGACTTGCTTTTCAAATGGGTAACGGACATGTGACAAAATTTTTATTCAAGTTAAATTTGGAAATAAGGCAACTTCCCCTCCCTAGAATCCTAAAATACCACAGGGTGAGATGGGTTTCTGATTCCGGGATTTTGGATACCATTGGGGATCTGACATTTCCCCCCATAATCGGATTACCTTAAACCAATCTTGGGAAACAAATACCCACCATCAAGATTCCGGTGGAATATTTGTGGATTCCCTCGAACTAAACACACTCTAAATGACAAATATCCCAACCGATTTTTAAATCCAAGGTAATTGAAATTAAGTGCTTTGCCAACTTGAAGTAAGTTTAAAAGATTTTAATAATCTATTTCAAGGTAAACGGACAGAGTTGACCAAAGTAATACCACCACAGATGTCAAATACTTAAAAGCACCCCATTAATAGCCTTATCATTGCATCCAACTCCAGGTAGAGGAGAAGTCGACTACCTATGACGGTCACAACAATGGAACATTAACATGATAAAAGCCTCATCCATGTAATAGAATTCAAAAGTTCCACATGGGTTGATATCTACAACAACTATTAAGTCTTGTCAACAAATTTCATCTACAAAGCACATTTGGTTATGACAGAACACTCCTCTTTCTACATAATCAAGTAATGGAGCTCCGTTTTGTCGGAAGCCACATTACCTTACACCTAATTGGAGGTCCTTGAAGCAGGAACATCAACAGCAAACCACCGCCATTCTTCATTTTAGTTTAATCAACAAAACCTAACCCTATTTTCCCTTAAATTAGATATTTCTTTTCCTATTACTCCAAACAAACATAAGAGTTCATCTTAAGCTCTACTCCAGTCTAAAAATCAAGTCCTGATAACAAATACATTAGTAATTTCCAACTAAATTCCTAATTTAACAATGTTAACATTCCATCACATGAAAATAATGAAATTATAGCACAATTTGATGATCAATTAAAAGCTGAACTAATGTTTGATAATCTGACCTCGCAACCAAGATAATTCCTAATTAATCTCTGAACGTAATCTATAACCGCTTTTCTTCTCTCTTCTGAAACAACGGTTGGCCGAACCTGGGCCATGATCCCTTGCGTCGCTTTCTCAGCCTTTGTCCAATACTCCGCACCAATTCCCGCTTGATTCGATGATGAAGATGATGACGATGATGATCTCTCTTCCGACGCAACACCGTTTGGCTCAGGCGACCAATCTCGGAGATCACCCATCAAAAACTTCAAATACCCTTACCCAACGGAAACCAATTCCCCGCTCTCACGCCTCAACAGAACGACAGACAGATCATTCACGCGCTTCGATTCGCCGCGGCCTCAATCCAACGACCCTTCTGGCCTAAACCACGGTTTTTATATTATTATTACTGTTTTTGTTTTTTTGGATATTGTGCACGATCAGGGTTTCAAAAGGGGCAGAAAGGAAATAAAACGGCAGAGGAAATTACGGCAAAACGACGTTGAAAAGTGTTCTGTTTTTTGAATGGAAAATTTTAATGGTGATAAAAGGTAGAATCTAAAAGAGTACAATTATCAGATAAAAAAAAATCCAATAGAGTACGATCACAAGTTAAAGTTTTTTGTTTTTTTGTTTTTTTTTTTGGAAATTTGTCGATTGATTCTTCAATCTTTGTTCCTTTTCTAGTTTACTGATTATTTCTTTTTTTTTTTTCCTTTGTTTCGTAACTTTTATTCTTCTTTACGAGAAAACGGAAAAAAACAAAGGAAAAAAATTATAGTAAGTGGATATAAATTTATTTAAAAATCGGATTATTCATTTAAGTATGACGATACGTTAAATTTTGAAATGATATAAATTAAGTAAGGTTTTGGGTAAAAACATTAAAACTCAAATTTAACTCGGTTAACTCAAATAAAATATATATAATTAAAATATTATAATTATATAAATATATATGTAATTTTTTTTTTTTTAAAATAAATTTTTTTAAATTTTTATTATATAAATTAAGTTTACTAAATATGTGTGAGATTTATTTTTTTAATTTGAATCAAATTTAAAAAAAGTTTAAGATTTAAAATATTAAATTAAATTGAGCTTAAATAAATATATAAATTATTAATATTAAATATAAATTCATCTCGAACTAAATCTAATCCGACTCATAAATAACTTTACGTGAAAGAAAAAAAAAGTTATATATGACTAATTTTTTAAGAAAAATAGATAGTTTTAAGTAAGTGTTTTCACTTTAAAAAATATATTATATCAAAAATTTAAACGACATTAATATCTTATTTTATTATTTGATATTATAAATTTTATTTTTTTAATTTATAAACTGAGTTGATATCATTTTACTCATATATTAGGTTCGATTAACCTTTTTATAATTATTATAAATAATTAAAATTATGATGTACGAAAAACAAATTAAGTAAAAATCATCGATACACTTTATAAAATTATTATAAGGAATATCCCCTATTTCACACTAATGATATATTAATAAGTAATAATTTGATTTGGTTTCCCATTTCTTTTTGGGCTTATGATTTAAATTTGTCATTTATTTGCTTCAGTAATTTAATTTCTAAATTGATAATTAAATAATTAAGCCTTGAGAACCGAGATTTGCTTTAATTATAAAAAAAAAAAAAACTGAAAATGAGTGTTTAAAATTAATATTTAAAATCACTATATTAGGTAATTTATTTTTAATACATTGAAATTCATAATATCAACTGTTAGTGAACACATTTAATAAGAAATATATGATTATGTATAATATTAAAATTTTGATTAATTTTAGCTAATGAAAATTAATTGAGTTTGTAAATATTGCTTATAATATTAAATTTAATTTTCATTATCAACAAAATTTTTTTTATGAATGATTTATAAATTGAATGTAAATTAGGCTATACTTATGAAATTTACTAATAAATTAATGATTAAATGCATTATATTTATATGGATATGCTTTAAAAAAAATCTTATTTATAAAGAGAAACAATACAAGATTAAACAAAAAAGTCCCTTAATAAAAAAAAGTACAACCAAAACAAAAAACAAATATTAGATTATAATAAGAGAGTGAAAGAATGAATAAAGATAAAAACTAACCAGAAAAAAAAAAAAAAAAAAAGAACTGGTTTGGGAAAATCATATGTAAAACAAGATGGAGAGGATTGATTGGTTGGTGGTACCAACCGACAGCGAGGACAAGATTAAAGCATGCAGCATGTCGGTTTAGTTTGGTCTTTGTCAAGAGGGAAGAACTAGAAAAAAGGTTGCTCACGTGCCAAAAAATTAAAGGAAAGATATTTAGGAATTTCTTATATTAAAAAATTATATATCTCGATTTATATATTTAAATAATATAAAATATTAAAATTTATATATTGTATTATATTTTACATAAAAATTATATATTATAATTTATATTAATATAAAAATATAAAATATTTTTTATTAAATTTATATATAATTATTATTAAAAATTTAAATTACGTAATATTTTTATCATATTATTATATAATTATATAATATTTTAGATTGTTATAACTAAAAAATAAAAAATATTTATAGCTATGACCAATTTAAATTTCATGAAGCACTTTTAGTTTTATTTAGGTATATTTTTTAAATTTACTCTTAAAATTATGAGTTGTGTAAATTAAAATGTACTAGCTATTTCTAGAATGCTCACTCAAAAACAATGTGAACGCCAAGACAAACAGACCAAAAACAACGTAAAGCAAGACGCGCTGAATGTGCTGTCCAGAACTTGAGTTTCCATTATCTCTTCATTCTCCATTATTAACTTTAGTTTATTTCTAGAAGGAAAAAAAAAAAAAAGGTTCTTTGAATATCAAATTTTGAAATGGACAGCTGAATCCTCATCTTTCCCTTGTTTTCTTCTATGTTTCCAAGCATCTGTTTTGTTCTTTTGCTTTGTGATCATGTATATCAATATATTTAGAAGCAATTGCGCCCACAAAAATTAAAAGAAAATTTTGTTAAAAAATAAATTTATTTATTTATTATTTATAATTATATTTATTTAATATTCATGAATAAATTTAACTAATTTAATCGATTCAAACATAAATCAATCTTGAACATTTTATTATTTAAATAAATTGAACTCTAGCATGATATATAATTTTTTTATTAAACACGAATTATAAATAAAAAATTAACATATTTAAAATTTATAAATATATTAAAATTTTTATTAAAATAATAAAAAAAATAAAATTTAAAAATGGGTGAATGAATTGAATCAAAGAAATTCAGTTTAATCAATTTTTTAATAAAATCAACTTAAATGTAGATCATATTTTAAAATTCATAATATTATATATTATAAAAAAAATCAAACATAATCAGATTCGATTCAAAGGTTATCACCCCCTCAATAAAAAAATATTTTTGGACTAAAATGATAACTACAAAAAGAAAAAGAAGAAACATGGACTATATTTTTTTATTTTTGGACCAAACTGAGAAAAAGGTAAGTTTTGGGCCCATTCCGAATCAGGTTCAGACCCCTGGGCGCATTCGATTCGAACGAAAAGAAAGTAAGCAAACAGTGTTTTGCAGTATCTGCATATTGGACTTCCCTTTGAGTGGAAAATGAAGGCAGGCGAGAAAAATTGCACAAAAATGGCGTCGCTTCTTATACTAATTTTGCTGTTACCTCGGCTTCCTTTATTCTCCGTTGCTTACAGGCCAGGCGACATCGTTTCTATGAGCAAGATGGGCCAATACCACTCTGTCAGTTCTCTTTTCTTTTCCTTTTTTTAAGTTTTAATCTCTTATTGCGATTGAGATCTTTGAATTTTGTTGATTTCAGTCGAGAACTGTTTGGCATGACGTGATTGGTAAACATTGTCCCATCTTTGCCGTTAATCGGTAGGTATTATTATTATTATTATTTGTTTGTTTTTCAAAATTTTTTTATATATATAAAAAATAAATTTTGCAGGTTTTAATTCCTATAGCTAAGCCGACTGGTTACACGGGCGCTGATCCCTACAAAATGTAAGAATTTGTTGAAATTATTATTAGGGTTTTTAATTTAACCTCTTTTTTTTTTTTTTAATTTGTTGCAATTGTTATGCTTTGGCTCCTTAGATAGCAAAATGAAGAAAAAAGTGAAAGAAATGAACTGTTTTCGAGTCCAAAACTGTTGTTTAATTCAGTTTTTTGAATAATCGTTTTGCGAACTGTGGATAATGAGAATGAGATTTATGTTCAAGTTTGTCTAAACAAACCCTCTTTTGCTTCTGCATAAGATCACAGATGCATTAGTAATTCATATGTTTATAATGTTTGACTTACATGTAGATCGTTCCAAGTTGGGAAGGAGAAGTTTCTTGTTCCATGGCTTTTTCTGATAAATCGTAAGAGTTCTGAAGTTCCAATGATTGACATGAATTTGGTAAGATATATTTGTTGTTTTTACCACTTTGCTTTTGGAAATTGTAACTTCGTATAAAAAACATGTTGCTTGAGAATATTTCTGGCTATTATGCATGATATGACTCACTTCTTGTGGTTTTCTGCTTCTATGTCATTCAGAGGTACTCAGGGGGTGATTTGCTTGGTGTCATTGCTAAAATTGTGGATATGCCTCATCACTGTATGTAATGCTATCTTCCTTTATGTTTCAGTGTACTACTAGTTTGCTAAGAAATAGAGATATGCCTAATCATCTTGAAGATATTCTATTCTAATCATCTTGAAGATATTCTAAATTTGTTTAATATGATTCTCTTGGGTATCTACAGAACTTGATATGATCGTTCAAAATAGTTTAGATGGTTTCTACTTGTTACAAGTGGCATGCATTTGTTTCATTCTATCAAGGAATAAGAGGGTAATTGTCCAAGACTATCTCTAGAAACATAGGGCATAGTATAGTCTTTGTACTTTTTTTTCTTTTCGTTTATGCTCCATTGGAAGTAAGAGCTTCTTCAGAAATTATAACAGTCTACAACATTTTTAGAGAATTTGTGGTCAAATTTTTTCTTGGATCAGGAGAGATGGGAGGATTATTGCTTTGAAAATAGATTCACAGCTTTGTTGGGCTGTGTGATTGCATATCGGTTGATTTTGAACAAAGGATTTTTCATATTCATTAGTTTCATAATAGCATATCCACTGCTTCAAACAGAACAGTTCATTTATTTCTTTTCCAGTGAGTTGATTGAAAACTCTTAATTATTTTTTTCATCAACAGATGTTGAAATTCATCCAAATATTCATAAACATTTCTGGGATCCTCAACATTGGCCAAAACATGTGCTTGTTAGATACACCTGGTCAGTATGTTTGTTTGTGTTGAAATCTGTCTCTTTTTTTTTTTTTTCTTTTTTTGTTAGGCTGGCTTTAGATTTAGTCTGCTTTTAAGTTTTCAGAAAATGATGCTTTGAAAATGATACTATGATTTAAAGCAAAGGAGAGGTAAGTGCTAGCAATACCTAACTTAAAGTCTGAAAATGGTACTCCAACATTTAAATGTTGGAAGTACTAAGTTGTTTTTGCTGAATTTTGGGCTGTCATTATTCTATATTGCACATGGGAAGCTACAACTGCACCTGCTTCTCTAATGTATTTGTTTAATTGTTTACATGTTACTCAAAAGTTTTCTTTAGAACAATATACTTGGTACATCTTGGAATTACCAGAACAAGT